TATCTATATATCTATTTAAAATATTCCTTCTAATCTCTAATCTTCTTCCTACGAATGTATTATTCTCAGTACATCTACTGGAAGAGATATTCTAAAAAAATCATTGTGAATAATTTTATATTGCTTTCTTTCAGAATATATTAACCGGCGACAAGCATGACATCAAGAGCTGAAATTTCTCTTTGCCATTACAATGTGCAATAAATTATACATTATCTATCTATCTATATAAATAAAATGAAACGCCGAAATGTATGTACGCGCATAACTTCTGAACGACTGCACTAAATATAAAATGGGTAAAAATTGTTAAACTCGCGTCAGGACACGTGACCCTGATCGAAAATTCGTAAGACGGATGGAGAGTAGACAGCCGGCGCGGCGTAGGAGAGGAAGTATCCCCCTCTCTTTCTATGCTTGCGCCTGCTGTTTCGTTTAGGCGGCGCAGGGCGCTTGCGCGAATGTTCGTTTTTCTGAGAGATAACATTTTTAATGTAATATAAATTGTCATGGTTGTGTACGATAGCGCAATAAATAAATATTGTATTCTACCACATAAATGATAGTACTTTTATACTGATAATTAAAGCAATTCGTGCAAAGTTATTCCCTAACCATTCCAGAATATCAAAAATGCACAACGTTAATATTCACGTTTTCACTTCTGCCGGCACTCCCGGAGTGCAAATTTTTTTATTTATTTTATGTTCGTTATGGTCAGGACAAAGTTTATTTAATTTAAAAAAAAAAACGACCAGATTATTAAAAATAATTTTCTTACTTGGCAATATCTCTTAACTTGAATCATCAGCACTTCTACCTTTTTTAATGATTAGACCCATTTGCTTTGACGCTTACTTAGTTGTATTAAAATGAAAAATATTCTTGCATTTACGAGATACCAGAGCTAAATGATGGCCTTCATTAGACTAACGCAACTGAAAGAAAGCGATATACAAAAATTTGCATTCTTAATACATTTTGAGTAACTACTCAAAACCCTAAACTCTAAACTCAAAAACTCAAAAGCCTAGACTGTTGTTACTAAAATAATTTTTTCAGGGATAAAATATATGCATCCGTTCCTTGAAAATAATAACTGCATAAATTCAAATATGCTATGTTGCTCTTAACAAAACATACAGTATTCGACATGTCATGTTTAAAGAGTGTGAATTTTTTACTGACGTCATGCAGTGCGATAGCGTCGTCATATTTTGTCCGAGTGTATCGAACAAAATATGAATGTATTACTAATATAAAGAATAAAAACCAAAGCTGACTTATTATTGGTACCGCTTATATTGTTTATGTACTTTAAGGTAGCAACCAGACCGTTGATTCAGGTCGCTTAAATACTGTAAAGACATGAATCGGAAATTGCTTGGAAGTTATAATAGCAGGGGAGTTCAAAGTAAACACTTTTGTTCATTTATTTTTAGAATGATTTCTTCTTTCACTATTGTTGGAAGTAATCTTGTTATTAATGTGGCTAATGCTTCAATAACTTGTACCACCTTTGTGCAATTGACCAGTATTAAAACGTTAAAACGCATGTCTTAAACTTTAAATACAAAAAAATGAACATACAATTAATAATAATTAAATCTATCGTATAGTATGTCATTATTATATTTGATGGGACTGTTGATCTAGTGGTTAGTTCTCCTGAATGCTAAACCAGAAGACGTGGGTTCGATTACCACCCTGCACAAATGAATGTGTGATGACCACGATAACGTGTTCTGTGCCTGGGTGTAATTTATCTATAAAATGTATGTATTGTAACGTCGTATTTTTAAAAGGACGATTTCATTTTATTTATTATAATTTATCGAATGCGATTTCGTGTATAAATACGGGTAAATCGATTAGTCGATGTCAATAATCGATTCAATCAACGGATTACACCGTTCATTCCAACCCTATGAGATATGTGAGATTGAACTCTTGCTGGCGCGAAGACGGCGGAGAAGCTTTCTTTTCTTTTTCAAAGAGTGGATACCGTGGACGTTCGGTCCCGATGATCTGAAGAGGACCTCCAGAAATGCATCGGCTCGGATGCTGAGGCGTCACCCGCCTTAGATATCAATCCGAAAGAGTTTTTTTTTTGTTTTTACTTCTTCTTATGTAGTGCTCCCGCATACCCTTACTACATACATACCGCATACCGTTACTACCTACCTACCGCATACCCTTACTACATACCTACCGCATACCGTTACTACATACCTACCGCATACTCTTACTACATACATACCGCATACCCCTTACTATTTAAACCTAATTACCTACTTATTTGTACTGGCTGCTGCTACCTCTGGTGCTCCGAGGACTCCTAGCATCTACCAACATTACCCTCTACAAATTGCTTCCGGCTGAGGACGCCTGGAAACCAGGGCCCTTACTCAGGAAACGCTGAGGCGGTGCCTCACCTACGGTCAGCCCCGCCGGGTAAACGACATTGAAGGTACCGGATCACCTAATACCAGTGTTCATCAGCTCCTCTAAGCTGTGGCCACCCGGTATCCGAAGTTCCATTTTCTTTTTTTCTTTTATGTTTTAATATAAGTGATACCATTTGATTCGACCAAGCTCCACCACTTACCGTCTTAAGCATAGTAAATAGAGATTTAAGTGACTAATCATAATACTTTAACTCTTGACACCAATTTCTCTTTCAATTTTGTTTTGTTTATTGTTCAGAGAGGTCGTTACGGACCTTAGGTTTTTTTTGTTGTATTCTCAAGCTACAAAGTGTATTAGATATGGTGTATGTATTAGATAATGGAAATAAATATTAGGTAGTGGGACACCACAGTCGACTTTTTTTTTATCCTCAACTATCCTGACAGGTATAACCCTGCCCTTGTGACCCCTAAGGGGGAAGATACGCTACAGTCTATAGAATATTTAACTATGTTCATTATCAACCAGACTGCTGATGAACATAGTGAAATATTTCATAGAAAAGGTTCTGCCTAGTTTGGTTTTAGTTGCCAAATTATAAGTTTGCACATCTCACACACGGCAGTCTGCGTGTGTGAGATGTGTAAAGTTATAGTTTCTTGGGGAAATTCCTTGCAAATATCTTTATCATTAGATACTTGTCGCGGATTGAAAAAATGTAGTTATAGTTCTTGAGTGAGGTAATTCTTATTAGAAGCACGAAGATTGTAAACGTGACCAGCGGACGAAAAAGCGCCCTCTGGTTGGTACGTGCAACTAAAAAGTTGATGGAGAAATGAAGTGATCACACATAAATTTAAAAAAAATATGCATAGGATAGTTATTATTAGGTATATTAAATTTTTTTTTTTTTTTTTATCTTTAAAAGACAACGCCCGCATTAGGAATAAATCCTGTGTCGCGGGGACTTTACAAACATACATGAAACGGACACAAAGAACACCCAGACTCAGAACAACAATTTGTGGATCACACAAAGTGTCGTCCCATGTGGGGTTTGAACCCACAACACTCGGCGTAGTAGAAAGCGGCGTGGCGACCGCTTAAACCACTACGCCATCCGTGCAGTCAATGCCAAACATCTCTAATAAATAACAAAATATTTCTGTAAATTGACAAACTTTGTTTGGTTACAATAACAAAATACCTGAAACAATAGTGCTACAAATGACTGCACGGATGGCGTAGTGGTTTAAGCGGTCGCCACGCCGCTTCCTACTACGCTGAGTGTTGTGGGTCGATCCCCACATGGGACGACACTTTGTGTGATCCACAAATTGTTGTTCTGAGTCTGGGTGTCCTTTGTTTTCTTTCATGTATGTTTCTAAAGTCCCCCGCGACACAGGATACATTCCTTATGCGGGAGTTGTCTTTTTAAAGAAAAAAAAGGAAATGAGAATAACTATATATTTTTTGTCCGAATGTCACTTTTCTGTTTAATGCAGCGTCGACTTGTACTGTTGTTATTATAAGTGGTGACTTAAGTAAATCATTGATTATACATTACCCTTTTCCAATGGGAAAAAGATCATCTTGAGAAAGTATTCTTTTTTTCTAAATTAATTTATTTGTAAAAATCAATACTAATATAATTGTGCTGAAGAACTTTTTGTCTGATTAGTTGATTTAAATGCTCTAATCTATGGAATCAAAAAAATCTTTTGGTGTTAGATAGATATTATTTATTCAAGATCATTACGGACTATGTAACATCATCTTACCTTTGACTATTAGGAGCAGAGCAGTGGCCTTAAACGTGTTTAAAAATACGTGAAGAGACTGGATAATTATAGTCTGCGATTGTCTTTGTAGAGTTAGTAGTATTTTGTTTTAAGGAACAGAATTACAGATAGTTTTAGTAGCTCTAAATTTTATAGCATGCATTAATTTTCAGCTGTCGATGACAACGATATACCAAATTGTTCCATATTCATAATAGGGACATTTGTTTTTTTTTTTAACTTAAAATATCGTATAGAAAATCATTTAATGATGAAACGTGTTACGATTGCCTTAGGATTAAGTTCCATAAACAAACAACAGAATGCAAGTTAAGCATTCATCAGATATTATGTTCATAAAGTTAAGTTAGTAAAGTTAATACGATTAAGTTTCATAAACAAACAGAATACAAGTTAAGCATTCATCAGATATCATGTTAATAAAGCTGAATTTAATTTTGAAAATGATGTGTTATATAGTAAAGCAGAGGTCTCGTTATCAAAGCGCACAGTCCTCACTCAAATGTTAATAACGGTGCGGTGTAAAGGATTCTGCTCGCCTCAGGATTGGTCTCCCTATCAGTTTGGCGCGAGATTCCGTTCCGAACGTACGCGGTCCTAATTTGGCTCAAAGAGTTTTATATCGACACAACTGAAGTTAGTCTGATTTCAAATTCAGTTAAGTTTTAATTTTGTACAACGTGTATTGGTTTTAAACCAACACTAAGTAAGTTTTATTGGCCACGTTTAGGTTTTTAAGTTGCTCACGTTTGTCTACAAAGAGTGTAAAATACAATATAAGAATCAAGAATGATTGTACTGCTTTTGAGTGCTATATTAATAGTAGGTAAGTGCTTCAAAGTATTTTTTTTCTGAAGTTCGAAAAAATATAAAATTAATACTAAAATGTTATTATATAATAAACAGATAATAATTATGAATTAAATAATTGCCCTCGTCCATTTAACAACTTATTAAAGAAGTTTTTGTAGAGATAGACAATTGTTGGCCTTAAATTTGAACTGATAAAATAAAGGAACTAATATTATTGAAAAAAACAAGGAAATATTTTTTATATTTCTTATTATTCAATATTTATTGAAAATGTGTCATCGAATTTATCTCTTGAAGAATTAATTTTTAAATTGTAAAAAGTGAGCCATTAAAATTCTTATTTTTTCATTATATTGTTAAGTGTTGCTTTGTAATATAAATTAATGAATTTAAACTTTACATACAAAATATATATTTCTTTTTCGTACATTCTCACATACACAGGTATCCTACAGACGTGATACGAGTATAAGTAACTGTGCGTACAGTACGTACGTATTTTCTCTAAGGTCTTAACTAATATTTGAACTTGTTCAGGCTAGATGAACTTTATCAAAACTATTATCGCCCTATTGTTACAAACATGATAACTACAGTAATGTATTTTGGTGTCAGTCAAAACAAAGGGCTGACTTGAACATGCCGAAAATTACTTGCTTAATAAAGTAATCATTAAAGAAGGTAAGGTTATTAATAGTATCACAAACCAAAACTATTAAGACCGGGTTTTTTTAATTAAGCTTTATGGTATTAAGAAATAACTAGGTTGGTAAACAAGCACACAACGATATAGGCAACCGACTCGACCTCTACCTGTAAAGCAGGTAGAAATAATATTGCCACTTTCATACAGGATGTAAAGGACGTAATGAATACTGAAATAGTGTAATCAGACCATCATTCTGAGTCGAAAATCATTAGAATTAATAACTCTGTATAACACCCTTAATAATACAGCCCATATAACCATGACATACATAATATAAATAAGGCACAGGCACATTTTATTCTATGAACAACCATAATATACGTAAATTAATTTTATTTCAAATTACAATTGTCATTGTTGGTATTCTAAACGCTTGGGCACGCCGTTATCGCGGTGGTAAGACCCGTTATGGAGGATTGGCTCGAGAGGCATCACGGAACCGTCTGATACCGGTTGACGCAGATGATCACCGGGAAAGGATGCTTCGGAGATCACCTGTGTCTGATCTGCGAGGAGCCAACGCCTGAGTGCCACCACTGCTATGGTCGGACCATGGACACGGCGTTCCATACGCTGGCAGAATGCCCGACGGGGGTGGAGCAGAGGCGTTGCCTCGTGGCGGCCGTCGGAGTGAGAATCCTCTCGCTCGATAACATGATTGCCGCCATGGTACGGAGCGAGAGTTCGTGGAACGCCTCCGTCTCCTTCTGCGAGCAAGTTATGCTTGCAAAGGAGATGGCGGAGCGGGACCAGGAGATGTTTAGAACTCTCCTTAGATGACTCAGGCGCCGGAGGTCGCAAAACGACCTCCGTCCTTTATAAGCTCAGGCCTGGTAAGTGAGGGCATCTGTCACCCCAGCAGAAGCAGGCTGGAGTGATGGCGAATGGTGGCGTTTTTGAGCACAAAGAGGACATAGGGGGGTTCCCACACAGGAGGGGGTCATTTACACATCGTAGAAGGCCCGAGGTACGTCGGGGTATCAGGGATTTCCTTTCTAGGGAACACCTGGTTCCCCGGCTACTGGTACCCGAGACGGCATGCGGTTTTTGGTCTGTTCGAGTCCGACATAGCCACCGGTGGGTGGTATCCGAAAAGAGATAAAGGAAAAGGGTATCGCAAACGCTGCTTTTCAATAGGAGAGCAGTGCAGCGGCATGAATGGACAGACTCGTCCGGAGTGATACCACGGCTGCGTTGCTTTTCACCTAGCGAGTTAGGTTAAAGTAGATCAACCTAAAGCCCCGCCCTACCCTGATTCTGGGGGAGGGAATCTATGTTCTATTGAGTTTTGAGTTGCAGCTGTCAATGGGCGTTGGTATTGTCTTACCATCAGCTGGCTCGTCTGCGCCTTTGCCTTTCTATAAACCGTTACAGTCACAATAGATAGTTGAGCTTTATCAAACTATTGTACTTTGATTCCTTTGATCTTGACCTTAGGATGTATTATATCTACATTAATATATCACAAGACTGATTACGGTTACAGCTATGAGTACGTGGATACAAAGTGGTGTACGCCAAATTATTGATAAATGCTTCATAATAAATTAAATAACATAAAATGGTGCTATTACCTTATAGCAACAAACGTTCATGAGGGATATACATATCTATACTAGTATAATAAAGTCAGAGTTTTTAATTTAATTGTCTCTTTAAACATGTTCGTGTTCGTTCGTTTAATCGTGAGTCGGAATGAGTTGGAACTCATATTAAAATTTAAATAATTATTTTTTTTTTATATTAAAATTTCATTGCAAAAGGATATAGGTTATGTATCGTCATACTATGACACCTACTTTAGCAACTAAAGCGTTTGGGTCAGTAGGAACTAGTTTAATCATTAAGCGTAAGTCAGTTTATTTCTTTTGTAATAATATATTTAAAGTTTAGTTTTAGAAGGGGGACTTGAATATAGAATTTAATTAAGAGTAAAAAAGATTTTAATGGAAGTGGGACAAATGAGCACACGGGTCACCTTTTGGAGAGTGAATAGGAGGAGGTGTTACAAGCACGTTGCTGGCCTTTGAGAAAAGAGTAAGCTCGTTTCTTTAAAGTTTGAAGGTCGTATTGGTCCGGAAACACCGCAGACGATAACTTGTTCTACATGTTGGTTGTGCGAGGTAAAAAGTATCTTGACAGCGCTCAGTAGGAGAGTGCCAATTATCCAAATGATGGGGATGAAAATTTTGCCGAGTTAAACGATGGCGGAAAGTTGCGGCCAGTATTAATTCGAACAATTCCTTGGAGCACTCTCCATTACGCATGGGACAAAATGACAGTGAACTATGATTTATCATTCGATTTTTTCCTACGTAAGTTAGGGTTGCTACTTATTATATATGTATGGTAGCTATATATAATAAAATAATTATACTACTATATATAATACAAGAATTAGGTAGCGAATAGCGGTAGACGGTAGCTGTAGGTTTATTGATGTTCATCTGGGCAATAGTCACAACAAGAAATATTGTATAATAGAAACGTTATGAACAGTAAATACAAATTTTCACCTTACGCCCAATTGACGGTAGCGAATAACGGCTCTACATAAGATCTGAGGCCCAGGTGTGAGTTTTTTTCACATCTACTCGCTCCCGACGGCGAGCGCGTTCGACATTTCAGTTGGTTCGCACTGAAATCTCCACTAATCGCAACGCTAAACGCGCATTTGGGCCTCTGATAACTTTTTGACTGTGCGAGCCACAGGATTTCACATCTTTCTGTAATGTATTTATATTCAGATACTACTACTATTTAAGTACTTATATAACAACTTAATTGATATACCTAGAAATAATGAAACCTGGCGGCCTCCATACAGAGGCTATTGATTTGGCAATTAAATCTTGAATAAAATAAAAACTCTACCCAAAGAACGCGGACGGCAGGTAGTCTGAATTAACATGCCTTTCAAAAACTAACATACAGAATGAAACTATGATTATACTTTTTGTATCCTTTCATCATCATCATCATTAACAATCTTTAATAGTCCAATGCTGAACATAGGCCTCTCCTTAGAAAGGAGGTTTAAGTCCTTATTTATTGGCAAATCGAAGTATTCTCGTAACACTCGTATCACAGTGTTCTATTTTGATAAGCTATCTAATTTTAATGTCACGAATAAATTTTCGTGAAAATGGGATTAGATTCCTAATTGAAATATTGTATTAATATTTACCGCAGATATTCTACGTCAAGGTACAAAGAACATACCATAAGTTTGCCTCAAGGTTCACTTTATTAACTTCACAAATTTTATTAAAGGTGCGAGGTAGGAATTCAGGCACGAACTCTGTGCACGTGAAAATAAAAAGCGAGAGCCCAATCTCCATTGTACAAAATATTGTGAAGTTGCCCCCTTTAAAACTTATTTCTTCCCTTTACTGAGACTTAACAATGAAGGTTGACAGTTCTTTTTTTCCTAGAGTATAAATTCAGTCGCTCCGTGTGAATGTAAATATGCGGGTTGAGTGGAATGAACTGTTGTTACTGTTTAAACTTATGTTTTCCCTCTGAAACTAGTTTCAGATGTTTTTTTTTTTGTTTTAGTTTCAGATCATTTACTATAAGAGATTCTAGATAGTATGACCGCACCAAAATTTGCTATCTGTTAATAAACCAGTGACAAATGTTTGAATTGTGAAAAACTATTATTAAGTGTTACATGATTCTAAGAGTAAAAACGATTCTCAAAATAGTGTTCTTAATACGAGTATTATATAATATAAAATAGTAGTGTTTACTCGAGACCTTACCGTCTAACTTTAAAAACGTTACTGTTGTTATTTACAAAAGGAAGAAGGTAGCAATGAGATAAATTATCGCTCTCGATAGACGATAAAAATAGACTATAATGTTTTGCGAATACTGGCTGAGGCAGTTAGGGGGGTGCTCTCCAACCGAGGCGATAAGACAAGCAATATCTTTGTTGCGGTGAACACGCAACCCCTGTGTCTTTTTTCGGTTAAAATGGACCAGATTCCCCCAAGATGAAACCTCCGCTAAGGAAGCTTTAACTTCAGACAATAGTTCGTTTCGACTCTCGATGACATTTTCCCGAGAAATATTGGGACGGCCGGTTTAAAAGGCATCTCCCATGGATGCCACTAGTTCGTAACATATCATTGATGTCCAGAAGAAACAGTGTGGGTGATAGCACACAGCCTTTCGAGACACCAGCATTTACTGACTTCAAGTCGGAGTATACACTAGTATGCACCGTCGATAACGACTTCAATGCAAGGACGACTGCAAGGAAACTGGTGACCGAGTTACATAATTACTCGGGAAGCCCA